ATGAACAATAATGCAGTGATAGTAAATTCTACCAACTGCAATTCAGCAGAGAAAAACACACCACAATTCACAGGCACTCAAGGCACCTGCACCATCTGGTGAAGAATTGAATGGTAAAATATAAATTAGATAGTTCTTACCAGTACCAGGTCTCTCAAGGCGAGAAAGGTAAAGAGAACAAGCCGGAAGTAAAACCCGCTTTTATACGTGCGGGAGTTCCGCCTCCGGGATCATGGGCATGACTTTGTTTACATAAGGTCTCGAGAGAAGGCGGAACGAAGGTTATCATTCTATTTAGACCGTTAGTGAGTGAGAGTGAGGTCGAAACAGATCCGAATTAGCCAGATCCTGATTAGCGCAATGATATCATCTAGGATGTGACATTTCATCTCAGATGTAATAAGCGACGTACGAAGAATGGGCCCCTGCTCTGAGAGAAAATGTAAATAAACATTTCCTAGTTTGATTTGAGAAAAACCATTGTCAAATACACTCTGAAACTCAAAGGTCCGCTACAACCTGTCAAAATAAAAGTTTGATTTAAATGATTGAAATTATGAGAGAAATATATTATGTACTTCAAAGTTATAATAACAACAATAATAATAATATTCTTTATAATAAAATAATTTATTTAAATTATCATGTTTGTCCATGTTTTAACTATGCCAAAAATAACTAACCCTGAAGTTGTACATTTTCATTTAAAAACATTTTAAAACATCAATTACAATTTTAAAGTGTGATAGAGATATACATAAGGTGTACAACTTTATTTTTTATTTATTTATTTCAGAAGGGAGACTTTCATTAAAATGGTTTCAAGTTTGTTGTAATAAAGGATTTGTTCACTCAAATAATTTGTTCTTGTTCTTTTAAGAGTTATTGTTACTGATAAGAATTATTGTTTAATATATACCGTGATAACCGTGATATTTTCTGAGACTATTATCATACCGTGAAAATCTCATACCGTTACAAACCTAGTCCATACACAAGTTTTGCAGAAAGGAAGATTATCCATAAATAACAACTTAAATTTCATATAGAAATATGTTTCTCTCATTTATAACACTTTTTTTAATTTGGTCACTATTGACAACTTTTGCAATGAAAGAGCTGCATGATCTTCAAAACCATCTTTGCATTCCACAGGAAAAATAACAGCATGCATGTTTGGAAAGACATGAGGGTGAGTAAATAAAGACAGAATTAAAATTTTTGGGAGAACTATGTCATCCACGTCCAGTTTCTTCTTGCCTCCGAAGGCTGCGTACCAGCCGTGCAATGAATACATCTGCTGAGACTGTTCTCTTTGAAGGACCAACTCTAAGATGTTTAGACTGCGACATCATCTTCCATGTTTTTTAACCAGCTTTGTTCCCAACCCCCCCAGTGACAACTCTTTCTTGACCCGGGACGCAGCGGGGGGAAGCCCAGATATTTACGAGACGGAGCAGAGTGTAATTTCCTGCCAGCCTCCACTAGTTCCGCTGAAAAAACAGGAGAAAGGAAGAACATTTCTCCTGGGAGACAACAGCCAGGCTGACTGAATGACTCTGACTCTTAAAGGAACAACACCACACGATCATTCATCTGTCCACACAGAAACACGCAAACAATGGTTCTATGTCATCAAGCATGCTTCATTAGGACAAATCTACATATAATTTATTAGCAGGAAGACAATAAACCACAACAGCTCAAAGGTCCACAGTCACATATTGCACCTAAGCAAGGTGTTATGATGAACTTATAAAAAGTAAAAAAAAACTGGGGTAAATACCCGGTTACTGGGTATTTAGAGTAATGAATGGAACTGAGATTACATTGGTCATTAAACAATTTAAGAAAAAAACTGTCATCCCTCTCAGAGACAATGCACACCAGCACAGAGCATGTTGCCATATTCATTTGCATAAAGCATGATAGAACCTGTTGTTTTGTACATGTTCTTGTTTTTACATTTAATCTTGCAAGATCTGTGCATGCTAATTCATAAAAGCTACACTCAAACAGAAGGAGAATACGAGAGTCACATTCATACTAAATACATTAGCTACATACACAGTTCTTTTATTTAAGTGACTGATGCACACAAAATTGACTCTCCATTTTCAGGGCTCACAACCGAAATAAGAGCAAGTTCATGTCATAGCATAGCATGAGGCATGCGCTTCACAAGACTTTTGTGTTAACTGAGAGCCTCCATGTCAGCATATAAAACTGTCAATTTCAAATGCTAAAGAAGAAGCAATAAGTATATGGTTTATTGTTCACACTCTTCCTGTAACTCCTCCTGCAAACTAATTATTGTTACCAACTTGTTGAAATTAAAAAACACCATCAGTAACATAAGATATAAGGTCCAGGTCAACCACTTTAGAAGTATTCAAACTACTGTTAGAAAGCATGGACAAGTTCTTGACAAACTTTGTGTACAGTCAAAGGGAAAGTGTGTGCACATTAAGTGAGTGAACAAGTAATGCCGAGGTGTTAATTATATTCTCAACATTTAATATTTGTATCACACGGAAGCATTAACATGTGTGAAGATTTATATAGTGTGAAAGTGAGTGTTTTTCAGAGAAAGTGTGTATGTACTGTCAGTGTTTATCTGGTTGTAGAGTTACAGGAGTCATTATGCCCACTTTCTACTATCCCAACTATGAGTACACCATCTGTAGTTCTCTTGAAAAGTGCAAATACTGTGGCTCTGTTTATTTGAGAAACATTGACTCCACCCAATGAGGTAGGTGTGTTTGGGACATGGCTACCTGTTTGGAAGACCAATGGTGGGCAAGTGTTTAGGAAAGCTGTTTGTAAACAGTAATTGTTTCATTAAAGGCGAAGTGTGTAATTTTTGCTTCACCAAACTGAATTTGGAGCCACTAAATAAAATTCTGCAATTCCATCTGGTACCACTAGTGGTGCTAAACTTACAAATTTCACCTTTAAGAGAGAAACCAAAGGAAGGTCAATGACAGAACATCTTCAAAAAGCTTAAAAATAAAGGTGCTTCAAAAGGTTCTTCAAGCGATGCCATAGAAGAACCATTTTTGGTTCCACAAAGAACCATTCAGTCAAAAGTTCTTTAAAGAACCATCTCTTTCTTACCTTTTTGTAATCTGAAGAACCTTCTTTTGCCACGAAGAACCTTTTGTGAAACAGAAGGGCTCTTCAGATGTTAAAGGTTCTTTATGGAACCATTTAGACAAAAAGGTTCTTCTATGGCATCGTGAAGCAACTTTATTTTTAAGAGTGTTATTTTTTACCAGCTTCAACAATAAATGAACAAACTGCAAACCCGGATATTACTCAAGCAGAATACAAAAGTGGGCCACCAGATGTAAAGATAACTGACAGTTGATAATCACATATATGGCATACATAAAAAAAGGTCTGGTAAAAGTGCATATTAAAGATCAAATACAACAATCATCTCACCAAGTAGTCAGATCAGAAATGCTGCAGATGATGTCACAGCACTTAAAAGAACTTTACGTGTGATTTGAAATAATCAGATGGAAACTGGTTAAACCAATTAAAGCAAGACCATTTCAGTCAGGGTTTGATTCATCCGAACACTATCAGATAATACGGCACCACGGAACCCTTTCACTTCGGGAATGATAAGACAACAATCAGACAGAGCTAGTGACGAGCCTGCTCGACTTCATCTTCAAAATCAGCCTCCATGAGATTCTAACGCCCTCAGTGCGAGGTAATATAAGGGCCCCAAACAACTAAGCCATTAAGTTTTTATCTCCTCTGGCTCTGGCTCAGGCCCTCCTCAGTAGTTTACCTGCATCACTCAAACACCTCCAGCTTATCTGAAGCACCTTCGCTTTGCGTGCCGCTGCCTCAGTAATCACCGGTAGCTACGTTCAGTAGCTCAGTAATCTTCTTACGCCCTTCCCCTCCAGATTAACCGTTAGAGGCGGCAACAGACGTGCTCAGTTCAGATAAAAACACAGCACCTGTGTGGACAAATACTGCAGGCAGCCAACCGCGAGCCGGCTTGCTGCACGCACACACACATGCTCACACACAATGCACAAAGTTGATTGTTCTAACAGAGGTGGGGGAGATATCACAGAGTGAGATTAAAGAGATATGAAAGTCCATACATCAGCTAGTAATATTACTGATTAACTTCAGGATATGATCACAATCCGTGGCATTGCCATGTCACAGCAACAGAGCAAAAGAATCAGCAAAAATGCCCTCTAGAGAAAAGAATCTTTCAACTTCTCCCAATTTCTTTCTGACCTTCACGGACACTGAACTAGTTTTGTCGTCTACATGATCGATGAAGCGTCCTGGAAAAGTGAAAATAAGGAGCGTGTGTCGCATTCACATCTGCTACAGACAATCTGTGACCTTACATTGCAACTCGGTGTCCAACAAACCAAAACAATCAATTCCAACCATTTCACATTTCCTTGTACTTGGTCTTTATTTACTTTCTGAGAAACAACCATGACAGCACTAACAGCAAGTCACTGTCCTTCTTAACATCTCTAATGCAATTCAGAGAAAACTGCATCAAACCGTGTAATTCATCAGCACTGGAATGCCACCCTCTGCTTAACTTTTCACTGAATAACCTTCCTTATGCTTTACATGCAGGACAATTTCAACATACGACAACAATGCACAAACTTGATCATCCCATAAACAAAAAATTACAATTTTGTTATCATTTAGTCTCTATTGTTAGATGTTAGGCACAGTCTCAGTCACTGTTGACTTTCACTAAATGGAAAAATGAAGCAATGAAAGTGAATGGTGACTGAGTCACTAACATCTCCTTTTGAAAGATAGAAAGTCACACAGATTTATAACAACATGAGGCTGATTAAATAACACAGATTTTTCATTTTTTGAGTAAACTATCCATTTCAAGTGATATATAAAAAAAACACATTGTCAGTATATTTAAAATACACATTCAACTCAAAATAAGTAACATGGACCAAGCTGAATTGCACACTTACCACAGGAGATGAAATTCTGCAGCCAGGGCAGTCACAGATTGGAGGATGTACTTGTAAGATTCCTTTGGACATAAGTGTCTTCAGACTTTTCCCTAAAAAAATTTAAACAGTCGTTAACCTTTTAGATTCCATAAATTAGATGCACACATGGAGTACAAAACAATCTAGCATTCAAATACAGAATTCATTTCACATTAGCATCATGCAACAACATCAGCTTTTAAAAGAGTCATTCAGAAATGGACCTGCAGCTGATGACTCCAACGAAACTGTACCAAATGCATCCCTTCAGTGACTAATTTAACAACTCCTGCAGTCATCCACCCATCTGTCAAACTCATCCATGGGACAGTGTCACCGTGCAACAAAAGGACATTCTTAAATGTCTTAAAAGGACATTCATTTTATTTATAGTAAGTGACCAAGAGTAATACCCAGAGTGCACATGTACAAAATTAGTCTTAACCAAAATGAACTGTTGTCCGAAAGAAGACTTGAAACCTCTGGAAATAAACTCAAGTAAACTATATAAAATTATTTAGATGAGCTGGTAAATCAGCACAAAGTTATTACTCATACAGTAACTTATCAAAATATGGCATTTCCCTCACTTTAAATCTGTAAACACAAGCTGCTTCATATGATAATGTGCCACTGTATCTTATTCTGATGTACTGCACTTTAAAAACAACTCAGTATAGACATGTACACCACTACCTGAACATTATATTAACTATAAATCGATTTTTAAAAGTGTATTGATTTATTAATAATAGCAACCTACTAAAGACGAAAACTTTAATTCAAATGCAGTCTTAAAATTAGTAAAGTAAAAATCAGTGGCAACCTGCAGAGATAGGTTTGTTGTACTTATCGACCGTTAACTGATAACGAAAATCGAGTTAAAACTCTGAAAAGTCCTAAACTGAATAGAAATGACAAATTGTCGACACGAACTGAATGGATGGAAATAGAAATGTTATTAAGACACAATGATAGAAACACGAACCAAAAACAATTTAGTAAGCTGATATCTCACTACAGAGTTACTACACATAATATAGCATAAAGTTTGGTGCTTTAGACCTCATAAAAGTGTACTGGTTGAAATCTTTGTAAACACAAGTTGTTTAATCCATAACTGCTTGATAATGTTCGACGGTGTCATAATCCTGCTCTACTCCACTTCATTACAAAACCAACTTCAGGTAGAAGTGAAATTCAGCCAGAAAAGTTTTAAATTCAAGTAAAAATATTTTTCTTTACTTTAATATATGCACAGTCCACGTGCGTAAAAACTGTTTTTTCACAACAGTGCGAATCCAAAGCCGTTCCACTCAAAGCACAGTGCTCTTCTCAATGCACTAAAGTCATTGCTCTTCAGCAATTCGTATTTTTATCCCTAAAAAGAGCAGTTCTATTAATTCACGAACACGACGGAGGCTAAGTGAACCCTTATTTCAAAGGCAATATTCATTCGGCTGCACGCGGCACTGACTTACCTTTGTGCCTAATGCTCCGTTTCCAGTCTTTGGCTGTCTCTCTTCCACTCACGAACTGGAACTCGTTTGGGGTGAGCCACTCAGCCCGGTATTTGATGGAGGGCCCTTTGCTGCCCTGGCACAGTTTGTTAATGTACAGTAGTGCTTTGTTTTCCCCGCATTCCACTTCAATACAAGGCTCCCCGTTGTCGAAAAACGGCTGAAAGTCCGGGATAGACGAGAAGCTCTCTAGCATGAAGTCGTCCGAGTGGTGGTGTAGGTGCTGCTGATGCAGCGCGGCGTCGCGAAAGCCCAAGTACGCGCGCTGGTGATGGGCGAAAATGTGATCGTACGGCGGCGGATGAGGGGTCACCACGGGGATAGCGGTGGCATTTAAAGGGGCCAGGTATTCGGGTTGGTTGAAGGCGGCTAATGCCATGTCTTCTCCATCCAGTCTCTCCTTTTTGATGGCAGGCATGTTACCCGAAGCGCAGCGCCGGTAACGAGTGATTAGCAGTTCATGCGTCCCAACTTGTGTCCCTCTTCGCGGAGTTCCAGGCGCACCGGTGTGTTTACGCACGACTCCCGCGTCGCTGGCTGACAGCAGAGCGCTTAAGTTCAGCCATTCACCACTTCACTCTTCTCCTCAGTGCACTGCTCGCATGACGGGTCTCCCCGCGCTCCTGCCCACCACATCTAATCGGACTAATGCCTGACATCTCCGCCAGATATTAACGCTGAGCGTGCTTTAATGGTTGTCTATCCAGCGTTTCCTTTAAAATAATCACTATGGCAACTTCGCTGTGTTTATTTCCTCCGTCAACTCCAGTGCTAAGTTTATTTCTCTCCAGAAAGTAATGAGGACTGCATAGGACTAAGATATTTTAACACATAATAAAGCGTGTGTATATGTAGTGTAGATCATGTAAAAGTTCAGTAGTACATGCACAGTGGGTAGTGAGCCAGACTGGCTCGGAGCATTTTCATATCTGACGAGGATAGAAATAATTATGCTATCTATGTGCGACTTTAGAATGCAAATGATGCCTGGCGCTAATGGGACGTTGGTTTCTCTCTCTCTCTCTCTCTCTCTCTCTCTCTCTCTCTCTCTCTCTCGCTCTCTCTCTCTCGTTCGTTCTTTTAACCCCTTA